CCTTCCTCCTCCCTTCCTCCTCCTCCTCCTCCTCCTCCTCCCTTCCTCCTCCTCCTCCTCCTCCTCCTCTTTCTCCTCGTCCTCGTCCTCGTCCTCGTCCTCCTCCTCCTCCTCCTCCTCCTCCTCTCGTCCTCGTCCTCGTCCTCGTCCTCGTTGTCCTCCTCCTCCTCCTTCCTCATCCGCCTATTCCCCTTTCTCCTCCTCCTCCTCCCTCCTCCTCTCTCCCCCTCCTTCTCCTCCTCCTCCTCCTCCTCCTCCTCCTCCTCCGGTTACTCCTCCATCCTCCCTCTCTTGGGGTATGACGGCTTCCCCTGCCCGTTCCTACTGAATTATGGGGAACGAATAATGACGTAAACATAAAAACTCCGAGGTCAGCGCGGAATTCTCGGATCGGCGCTGGACCCCCTCCCTGGCGCGCGGAGCGCGGTAAAGGCGGCGCCGGAAGCGCCGCCAGGGGGGTTCAGCGCGGATCCGAGAACTCCGCGCGGACCTTCAAATTATTATGTTTATGTCATTGTTCGTTCCACGATGCCCCACATGCCTGATCCGGGCAACTCGCCTGGGCATAATTTCTGGATGGGCTGGTGGGATTACTTTTTTGGTATGCGGGCTCGCGAAGCAGGTCGAAAGCAGGGCAAAGCCAGGGCGGGGCGGGCTGGTGGGATTACGCGAAGCGTTTAGAATCACCCTGGCATCCGCTCATACTCCCCCTATCCCCTGGGCCCCCCCCGCGGGCATCCCAGTAAAGGGGAGGAAACACGGGGCGGCAAATCCTGAGATCCGTGCGTTAAATTTGTTCACACCGTGTTCTCGTCCAATTTCGGGCCCCCGGACCATCACATATCGATCCGTCTCACAAGAATGCAGCATAACGATGAGATCTACTGTGTCGCATGTTGCATCTTGTTCGCAACGTCGGATCTCAAGGGAAGAAGAAACGAACCCACAACCATGCGAACGGAAACCCGACTCGGTTGAGCTGGCCCGAAGTCGCTTCGCGGTGCTCTCACAACTTAAGCTGAAGCATCGTCAGCTTGAGCTGTGAGAACTTCCTGACTTTGACACAACGTCGAATCCTTGAGGTTTAAAACCGTTCTCCAGGACTGGTATTCCGTCCTGGGTCGTCCCACCAGCCCTCTGGGCGTAGGTGGTCTACGGCGCTTCCTCTTCCAACACCCTTCTTCCCCTTCGGGGAAGGGCTTATCACTTTTCCCTATGAATAACATACCCCTCCCCCACCTGGCCGGCAGCCAACCCGGAGCCCTGCGCACACCATGAGGCCCCCCTCCCCCTTCCCCCCCACCATCTTTTCCAAATTATCCTGGCGAGGGACCCAACCATGTGCAGTTGTGAGTGACGCAGTTGTTGGTATCGACCTCGGTGAACTTCTCTGGGGTCACGACGCGTGTGACGGGTGTGCCAAAATTGGCGCGGGTACGCCATGCGGACGCTGCCACCAGAGCCATCGGTGGAGCACCCTATGGGGCCGCGGAACATGCAAGGGGTGCGCCGAAATGGGGGGTGGAACTGCATGCGGACCCTGCCACTGGGGCCTTCGGCGGAGCACCCTATAGGGTCACGAAACGTGTGAGGGGTGTGCCGAAATGGGGGGGTGGAACCGCATGCGAACGCAGCACTGTGGACTTCGGTGGAGCTCCCTATGGGGCCACGAAGCGTGTGAGGGGTGTGCCGAAATGGGGGTGGAACCGCATGCGGGCGCTGCTGCTGGGGCCTTCGGTGGAGCACCCTATGGGGCCACGAAACGCTCGAGGGGTGCGCCAAAATTGAGGTGGAACTGCATGCGGACCCTGCCACTGGGGCCTTCGGCGGAGCACCCTATAGGGCCACGAAACGTGTGAGAGGTGCACCGAAATGGGGGTGGAACTGCATGCGGACCCTGCCACTGGGGCCTTCGGCGGAGCACCCTGTGGGGCCACGAAACGTGTGAGAGGTGCGCCGAAATGGAAGTGGAACTGCATGCGGACCCTGCCACTGGGGCCTTGGGTGGAGCACCCCATGGGGCCGCGAAACGTGTGAGGGGTGTGCCGAAATGGGGGTGGAATCGCATGCGGGCGCTGCCGCTGGGGCCTTCGGCGGAGCACCCTACAGGGCCACGAAGCGTGTAGGAAGTGCGGCGAAATGGGGGTGGAACTGCATGCGGACCCTGTCACTGGGGTCTTCGGCGGAGCACCCTACAGGGGCCACGAAACGTGTGAGTGGTGCGCCGGAATGGAGGTGGAACTGCATGCGGACCCTGCCACTGGGGCCTTCGGTGGAGCACCCCATGGGGCCACGAAACGTGTGAGAGGTGCGCCGACATGGAATTGGAATTGCATGCAGGCCCTGCCGCTGGGGCCTGGGTGGAGCACCCGATGGGGGCCACGGAACGTGTGAGGGGTGCGCCGAAATGGAGGTGGAACTGCATGCGGACCCTGCCACTGGGGCCTTCGGCGGAGCACCCTATGGGGCCACGAGGCGCTGTACTAGGTGGGTGAAGCGCAGGGAGGAAGGACAAGGGGGAGGAGGGAGGGGGCAGCGGGAGGAGGAGGAGGAACGCGGGGCGCTGTCTCTTCAAAACGAGGACCCAACACCACAGGATGGTTGGGAAAAACAATGCAAAACGCACTCGGCCTCCAAATTCGGAACATGCGCAACCAACCGGATGCGGTTCCCCACCATCCCTATCAAAAAACCATGCACGGTACATTTTGGGGCAAAGTCTGGAGTTATGTTCGTGAGGCCCGCGGGTATTTTGTATTGTATTGTTTGCGGGGGTGTCAGCATATCGCCTGCTGCGCGCAGGGCTACCATCCCTGAGAAACACACAGTACAACATGCACCCCGCGGCAAAATGTGGATAGTGTGCGGCCACCCCGCGATCATTGTCAAGTGGTATTTGTCAAGACGGCGGGGGTGGTGGCGTATGGCCTGCTGTGCGCAGGCCCACCAGACACAGTGATGGGCATTGGTTATCGACAGGGGTGGTGGGTGCCGGCATGTCCCCGATGTATGCTGCCACGTGCGAAAACGCACCTGGCAAACTCTGCACGTGCCCCTGGGCGTGGCGCACCTGGCACGGCTGGGGACCATCTGGCTCACTAGGCGTGCCTGGCACGTTCGGGCCCCAGGAGTGCCTGGCGCGCGTGGCGCGCCTGGCACGCGTGGCGCATGTCGCCCCAGCGTCGCGCACATGGGCTCGGTTTTTGTCCCCAATAAGTGCCCATCAAAACACGACTGCGGAACATGCTGAGGCTAGGGCGTTACTTATGTATTGGGAGTGCGGGTGGGAATGAGCTACACGGGTTGCTATCTGGAGGGTGTCTTGACCCCTCCCCCTACCCCCTCCCCTGGGCCTGGACGGGGGGGGGCACGACGCGATGGAGCGTCCAGAACGGCCTCGGCGAGGAAACCAAAACCATTGGTTTTACTTGGATGTTGGCCTCGTTGTGGCCTCTTGGGGGGGCAACCTTAATAAAAGCCCCCCCTCTTGTTTGGTCGATGTCCTCCAAGATGGCCCCAGGAACGCTCCCAAGGCTCCCAGAAGCGCTTCAAGAGGGCTCCAGGAGGCGCCCAGGAGGCCCCGGGAGGCCCCAAGAGGCGCCTAAGAGGACTCCAAGAGGCTCCCAAGAGACCCCCCAAGAGGCCCCAAGAAGCTCCCCGAGGCACCCAAGACCCTCTAAGAGGCCTCCAGGTCCGCCAAGAGGCCCCCGAGACGCTTCAAGATGCTCCTCTGCGTGCTGCCCACTTCCCTGATCGAGGCAACTTCTCCGGGCATCGTTTCAGGAAGGGCTGGTGGGCTTACTTTTTCGATCGCGACCGCGGCGGAAAAGGTCGGGCGGCGTTCAGGAGCGATGCGCACGGGCAATGGCCCAAATTCGCGCAAAGGAAGAGGCGGGGCGAAACGAGACAAGACCAAGCGGGAAGGGAGGCAACCAGGAGGCGAGCCTCGCTGCCGCTCACAAGAGGGCGCACACCAGAAAGTCCTTCCGGGCAGGCTGGCGGGGTTACGCGAAACGTCTAGAATTTGTGTGCGGTCCTGGTAGAGATGTAGCGTGTTTTGTGCCGCCTCGCTGCACCGACCGCCCCCTACGGAACACGCATCTACTCTCGGCCCAGTCGCCTCGAACCTCCTGTGCGTCCAAGCCGAACCACCCCAAATTTCGGATCACACCTCCCTGCGGTTTCGGGTTTACCCCTTCTCATTATTTCGGGTCCCACCGAATTTTCGGGTTTCGCCCCTCCGCGGGTTTCGGGTTTACCCCGCCGGTTTTCGGGTTTGGCCGCGATTTCCGGGTTCAAGCTTCTTCCCCTCCTCCTCTCCCTCCTCTCTGGGCGTTCTGGGATAGTTCGGAGGGGTGGGGCAACCAATTTGCATGTTTTTGCGCTGAAGGGGGGGGGGGATAGGGAAGCACGGCAGGCGGACCCCTGCCGGCTACCTCCTTCTGGCCCAGTGATCCACTGATGGCGCGAAAATCATGCGACGTAGCTGTACTCCTCCTCCTCCTCCTCCTCCTCCTCCTCCTCCTCCGTCTCCCCCTCCTCCTCCTCCTTCTCCTCCTCCTCCTCCTTCTCCTCCTCCTCGTAACACCGCCACCCACGAATTGGGGGCGTCGAACACAACACGTTGCAAAAAAGAACGGCGAACGCGGAACAACAAACATAATGTATCGAAGACGGCTAACCGTGTGGGTCGCACTCTGGCCAGACTAGAATGCAAACCCCAGCACTCATGACTGCAGTGTCATCGTGCTACAAGGAAGGCTGAATAAGGAACGAAGGGGCCTTTTTCAGGCCACGGCGAGCCTCGGCCACGAAGAGATTCCCTGGCGTAGATCCAAGACACGACCAGAAAACCAGAGCCCATTCTGAACCCACAGTGTTCCTCATTTTTGCGTCTTGACTAGAAGGTGACAGGACTTGCGCCAGGCTCTCAGAGAATGAATCTGACGAACAAGCATGGTGACTGAGAGTAGACAAGACAATGCCAAACGAAGCAACACCTTGCAAATGTCCTCGCCGATGATGTAATATGAAATCTCACGTACCGTCCTGGCAGAAGGAACATACTCATCGCGCAAACACGATCGCGTGATAATCATTACGTAACTGCATAAAAAGGCTCGGGTCGTGGTAGCACGGTTCGAAATGCCCAATGTTCTATAGATGGGCCTGCCTGGTGAGGAATCGCTTGCGGCCACACTCGTGCATCCCTTCAACTGGTCCACCTGGTCCTCCTCAACCCCCTCCTCTAGCACACGCACACAACCAGGAATGTCTTTGGGGATTCACGCGTGAAGCGGGCAACGATACTGGCAAATCCGTAGCCCATTCGATCTGAATGTGACGTGAGGGAATAACAGCGCTGGCGGGGCAACACGCGCGCGGAAGGGCAGGAGGAAAGATGGGGCAGTGGGTGGGAAAGATGGAGAAGGAGGGCATGGATCGCGAGGCAATCATCGCGATGTAACGCTGTGTGAGAACAACACCTGGTGGCGCTGCCGGCGCTACGGTGGCGCGCTAACGGCCCCGTGCAGAAGAAGGAGGAGAGCCCAGGGTGGGGAGGAGGAGACTGGGGAACTGGAAGGGTAGGGAGGAGGAGGATAAAGGGAAGTAAATGACTCCAGTGGGCACCAAAATCTCCTGCCTCCTGCCCTCCCGCCCCCTCCCCCTCCCACTCTTCCCCCCCTCATCCTCTCAATCTCTCCCGCCTCCCCCTCACCCTTTGGAACTGACTAAAAGCCGTTTCGCTGAACTGTGATGTGTTGGTGTCGGTCTTGGGGTTCTGCCATTCCCACCAACGTGTGCATCCAGATGTACTGTACGCAAATATCCAAACGTCGTGATGAGACTTGATGTAACCGACGTCGATGTGATCTATGCTGCCTCAGCTATTCTCTCACTAACACCCCACTTCAGGCGGAACCTCGCAACGACATGTTTTAGTTGCCTGAAACAAATGAAATAACCCGCCGAACCTATCGGCCTGCGTGGAAGGCCTGCCGAAAGAGACTCCGGCAAAGCCGAGCGACCCACCGCACGACCCAACAACGGCCCACCCGCGACCCACCAACAACCCACCAACGACCCACCCGCGACCCACCCGCGACCCACCCGCGAACCACCCCGCGACCCACCCCGCGACCCACCCGCGACTCGCCGGCGACCCAACCGCGACCCAACCCGCGCCCGCCCCCTCACTCTCTGTGGAAAAGCCGAGCCCCAGACTCGTTCCCCTGTCTCCTTAATGCCCCGTTATGTTTGCATGCATCTCTTCCCTGTCTCTCTATTGCTGCTTTTGCTGTCCCTCCTCCGTCCATAACCGTTTGGCTGACAGCCGGCTCGAAGCATTGTCGGCTATCAGCTGCGGGGCCCCGACCGATAACGGCGTTTCTCTCTCGTCGCTGCCGCGATCGCCGCCGAAGACCCGCCGGGGCCCAAGGAGAGAGGGAGCGCGCTTGGAGGGTCGGATCCGGAGTTGCAGCGGAGCCGCGTGGAGGCGCGCCAGAGCAGATTCACGGAGCGCAGCAGTCACCAATTTCCAGAGGAGCGAGAAGCGAGAGTGGCAAGAAAGAGATCTTCAACGACGAGTACGTGTGCACAGACGGGGCGACGGCGCTTAATTAGCAGAGCGACCTCGTCGGGAGAGCAGCGGAGAACCCCCCGCCATGGGCTCGGGACGTGTGTCCCCGGGTTCTCTGCCTCCCGGATCCTTCGGGGGTCGCGGTGAAGATTGGAGATGGAGCTCGAGGTCGACTCCATCCCTGCAGATGCCAAGCCGAGACCTCGAGGGTATCCCGAGTTGGGATGGCAGCGCGACGCGCTGGAGAAGGTGCAAGAAGGACGTCACCCTGTGGATCGAGGGCATCAACTTGGACGTTAACTTGCATTGGGCAGCAAGGATGGCGAGGTGCCTGACGGGCCCGGCGAAGCCCTAGGCGAGTCGATCCCGATGGTGGAGTTGCGCGCGAAGCCCTGGACGTGGGTCGTGGATGGCGGGCGCGACGCGGAGACGTAGGCCGAGGGCGACGAGCTGGAGGAGGGCGCCGACACCATCGAGGAGGTCGGTCACTGGGGGCCAATGGACCACATGGCCGGCATCAACAGGTTGATGGAGGTGCTTGCCACCATGGGGGTATACGAACCAACGAGGCGCGGGCAGGTGATGAGTTTCTTCTTCAGGCATCTGCACCGGCGCCCAGGCGAGGACCTGAATTCGTGGATGAGTCGGTTCGGCGAGGCGCGTGGCCAGCCCGACGAGGAGGATACCCCTTTCGCTCCGAGGGCGGCGGGCTGGTGGCTCGTCGAGAAGACGGGGCTCTCGGACGCCCAGAAGAGCATGCTGATGACCTCCTCCAATATGGCAGCATGGACTTCGAGGACGTGGTACCCGCGATGCTGAGTCTCCCCCAACTTGCACACTACGGAGAGACGTAGAGGTGCGTTCGATCGTGGCTTTGATCGTTCAAGGCCGTCGAGGCTCCTCTTGAAGAAGAAAGTCGCGAAGAAGGTTCGAGAGGCTAACGTCACCGAGGACGCGGGCGGTCTCAGCCAGCTCGATGACGGGGAGCTGGAGGCCCTGGCGATGGAGCTGGAAACGAACGACGGCGCCGACGATGGCGCGGGCGAGGGGGCTGTGGCCACTGAGGAGGCGGACCTCGAGGTGCTCCTCGCGTCGGAGATGGAAGCTCCCAACGCGATCCTCGAGGAGGCCGAGCACGAACCGGAGTTGGCGCAGGAGCTAGACAACCTCGAGAGTGGCATTGAGTCTATGATGGAGGACCTCATCACGGTTAGGGAGAGTAAGAAGGGAGTGAAGGAGCTCAAGAAAGACCCAAAGCTCGGCAAGGGCCCTCCCAAGGGCGCGGGCAAGCAGAAGTTCGGCGACTGGAGCGGCACCAACAATGACAAGGCCAATTCGGCATGCCATTGGCGCAAGCAGACGAGCTACTGGGCTGGAGACGCTTACTGCCCGAAGCTCAAGGAGTGGAAGGCCGACCAAGCGAAGAAGAAGCTACAACAGCGTGGCAAGACGCGGGACGCCCTGGTGGTCGACCTCCTGGACACCCACGCTGGTCGTGAGGTGCTGGAGTCGGCCCAGTCGGAAATGTTCGAGGTACTGGTCGCGGAGGATGGGTCACCGACGACGGCGTCGCAGGGGCCCCAGACGGGCTCACTGCCTTTCGACGAGCTGATCTCCGAGCTGGACCTGGGGATCAAGGTCCAGGAGGTGCTGCTGTCCGCGGTCTCTGTTGGCGGTGAAAGTGACAACTGCACGCTGGGCTCGGCCTGCAACAGCACCGTGGCTGGTGAGATCTACGCGCGGAGCCTGGGGGACCACTGTCGGAGGCTGGGCATCAACGGGTACATCAAGAAGGAACCGCAGTGTGCGGTGTTCAGGTTCGGCAACGGCGAAAAGCAGATCTCGCGCGAGAAGTGGACGGCGCCCATCACGGTCTGCGACGTCGACGCGTGTCTGACTCTCTCGGTCATCCAGGGGTCCGTCTTGGAGCTGCTGATTGGCAAGGACGCGTTGAAGGCCATGGGCCGTGGGCGCGTCCATCAACCTTGAGACGAACTCGATCGCATCCCAGGGGCTCGGCATTCCGTTGACGGCTCTGGGTGAGACGGATGGGGGGTCAGTATGCCGTGCCTGTGCCCCCCAGATCGAGCTGGAGTCCTCCTGTTGGACCGACCGCCATGATGAATGATTCGGTGTTGAGAGTTCGTACCAAAGTCAATGATGCGCTGATGACGATGCGCTCTCATCTCGCGGCGCAGGCGACGAATCAGGAGGCGCGGGGTGATGATGAGCAGGCAACATCAGATGACGTTGGCGACGGGGACTGGGACATGCCTGGAGCTGTTCAGCGCGTCCAGCCTGGCGATCTGGACCTGGGCGATTGTGGGCTGAGCCTGTGGGAGCGTCAGGACAACAATGCTCGGGCGCTTCGCGCATCAAACCGTGGCGGCCCGAGTTAGCGCTCGGTCAAGGCCCAGGAGACGATCTGCGCCAGGGCCGGCGACGTCATGGAGGGGTGGCGCTGGGTCGAGGGGCTGACGAACGAGGTGTACGAGGCGCTGGGCCCGCCGAAAGACATCATCACCCGGCTCAACTACGACGTCGTGAAGAAGGAGGACGAGTCCCGCCCTCTCCGTATGCGACCGCCAGCAGCTACTGTGAGTCCCACGCGGCGGGCTTCACAACATGGCCGAAGTGCTGGGCATTCAAGGAAAGGCTCGCGGTTGGCCCTCGGGGCGTCGACGGACCGACCGATGGAGGCCAGATCGAAGCAGAGACGGATGACCCCTCAGGAGGAAGGCGAGGCCCTTGTCAGTGCGAGCTGTCTCGTCGGGGGCCTCTGGGTCTGCGGGGCCGGGAGGGCCCCCCGCCACCGGGGCGCCGAGCCCTGTCGGGGCAGCAGCGTCTGCGACAAGCAAGAGGCGCGCGGATGCTGCCGGCCATCAGGTGCCAAGACGAAGGCTGAGTTGGCTGACTACATCCGCCAGCACGACGTGCCGATCGAGGGGGGCCCCGAGCACCTGACCATGGTCGCGCTGCGGAATGCGGCCTACCCCGACGACGAGGCACTTTTCACGAGCGCCAGCGCGACGAGTCAGCCCCGAAGGCTCCCGCGACCCGACCATCGGCACCCAGGCCTCCTCCTTTCGACGTCCGTGCGTAACCCGCCCGCGGCCCCTCGGCGTCAAGATGGCTGTTCGGAGCGGCCATGGACAGCGTGGCCATGCCGATGAGGGTTGAGAAGGAGGTGAGCTTCACGGAGCGTTTCGAGCCGAAGGCGAGGGTCGAGGGCATGAAGAACGGTGTGAGGACCCAGGTGAAAGACTAGCTCCACTCCTGGCGGCGAGATCGGAATCTGTTGAATATAGAGCCCCATGTTGGCACGCGGGGGTCGGGCAGACAATCGCGAAGCTCTGCACTGTACGCTTTTCCCGCGCAAACAGTATGACTTGAGCCAACACGGTTGCAGTGATGGCACGCACAACAAGACAGACATGAGAGAAACAGACGGGCACACAGGCAGGTAGAA